CCATCCTTCCTCCATCCTCCCTCCCTCAACTCCTCCCTCCTTTCATCCTCCCTTTCACCTCTCCTCCCTCCTTTTATCACTCCCTCCACCCTCCTCTCTCCCTCCTCCCTCCCTCCTCTCTCCCTCTGTCCTCCCTCTGCCCCGTCTCTCCCCAGTCCAGACGACAGCAGGACCCCAGCCCTGGCTCAAACATGGCCAACGCTGACGTGGAGCACAAGATGCGCTGAAGACGAGGAGGACAAACGAGGCGAACCGTCTGCTTCTCTTCAACACTCATCTTTTAAAAGCAGCAACCTGCATTAAAACCACAGTTGTATTCTTTAGCTCTTTTTTGAAACTTTTGTTTTTCTACATGCCAAATATTTTTCCCACATTTTCATTATAAAGAAAAAAAAATCTATTTGAACTGACTGAATTAACGTGAATAGCATTTGAGAAAAAAACAAAACACCAAAGAACTTAAAGTGAAAATTATCAAAGATTTAAAACTAGCTTCCAAAAAAAAAAAGCATCTTTCTGTTGATAGGATCCATGACGAGGAGCAGAGGAGGTTTTTGTGCCTCGGGGTCACGGTTGGGGCTTTTAGCAGCAGAGCGTGAATCAAAGTGAAGTGTTGACCGTTCGACAAATAAAAGTTTTTTAATGTGGCAACACGTCATGTTTGCTGACACGCCTGAACGAAACGTTCGTCTTCAGACCTGCTGTTTTCTGAGACCAAAGTTCACTTTAAAGTTTGAGTTTGAAGGAAACTAAAGACTCTTCTTAGAATGATAATAATTAAAATAATAATAAACTAGTTTTAAAACAGTTGGGTTCGTGAGCGCAGCAGGGTTTGCTTCAAACACCATTTCAACATTTTGACTCTTATCTAAAATATAACAACAAAAACAAACTGTCTGTATGTCCCTGATGCACGGTTGTGTACATTTGTCCTGAAAAATCACCAAAACATTTATCCTGCGTCTTCCTGAGAATCCCGGACGAGCCCCCAAAAATGCTCCGGTCCTCATTAATAGCGCTCAACAAAAATTTTAAAACAAAGTGAAAGTCTTGAACATTCGTATCGCTCGCCGCATCGAAGGTTTAAACAAAGATCTGTTAGCACTCAGATAGTGTTTTGGGGATGACTCTCTACTACCATCCCATATTTTAGTTCAATATCTGTAAAACTGACTAAGTTAGAGACATGTTTTTTTTGCTTGCTAGGGTTAGTTACTGGTGGCAGCCATTTTAAATCAAGTTTTGGTGATGCCATAATACAACGTCCTCTGAAACTTATGTTGTTTCGAAAATTTGAATTTTCTAAGAGCAGCTTCTCTCTCAAAAAAAAAGTCTTATTTCTAAACTTTCTGAACTTTTTTTGTACTTTTTAATTTAAGCAAAAAAAAAAAAAGATCATTTTTGGGGGGGCTCACAGTTTTTCCTGATCATAAACTCAAAGATTTGGACCATTTCTATAAATAATTGGGTTAATTATCAGAACCCGACCCCTCAGTCTCTCAGACGTTCGTCATCCTTCCAGGGCTGTGAAAACATGAATCCAGTCCCGCTCCTGTTACATCTCGAGTGTAACGAGACATTTGTATTATTTTTGTTTGTTTGTTTGTGTGAAAGTCGTGATGTTTACTTTTGACATTTTTCTCATTTCTGTTTTGTTTGGGGTGTTTTCAGCTCTGTTAGAAAGTTGTAGCCGAAGGTCATTTCATGTAAATTTCAGCTAAAATACCCAAACGACAACAGACTTTTGGGAGGTTTGAGGACATCTTTTATTTTTCTCTGCTCTTTTATTCACATTATTTTAATGTTTCCACCAGAATGTGGATTGACTCAACTCCTATATTCAATGTTTATATCTTGCAGCTAAAAGCTTTTTGTTTTCTAGTTGTTATTTTAGTGCATTCAGCGTTTTTTGTTTTTTTTACAAAACAACAACAAAAACTTTTTGTTCATTCTTTTTGTTCCAAGTCTGATTTATCAGGAATTGATGGTTTTTCTTGCATGTTGCTCTCCACGTTTGATAAAAAAAGCTTTGGATAAAATTCAAACTGAAAAATGACAAAACTTTGCATTAAGATAAAAAAAAAGTTGACATCATTTAATCTTGAAAGAATTTGATGAATCTAAAGTGTTTAGTTTTTTATCAAACTAGGTTTTTTAATTTCTGTCATTTAACCGCAGCCATGTCATCGATTCAGGGCTCAAAATGCAAACAAAATGTTTCTTATGACATAAAAATATTGAATTATAGCACATAAATTGACTAACTTTGGTCAGAACTTTGATTTCTGTCCCACAAACGTGAGAATCTGCAGACAGTCTGCAGCGTGATGAGAGACGGGCTTGTGTTTTCTGAGTTCTGTTGGGTTCTGTGTCAGTTTGCATCGATGGGGATTAGAAGAACCCAATTAAAATATCAGATTAGATTGATTGAAAGAGTTATTTGATGAAAGTGAGCACCAAAAAAAGATTTACGAGCAGTGATTTGTATCTAAACCTAGGAAATGTGCCTCAACTAAAAGTCTAAATTAATCTTTTTGGAGTAAAACTTTAAGTTTAAACTCAGAAACTCGAATCCATCCTTCATTTGCTTAATGCAGGCATTAAGGCAAGCCAGAAACTACAAACATCTTCTGTAATTTTCACAATAACCTCTTTTGTTTAAGTTATTTATACATTAAACCGCTCGTGTTTTGTAGCTTGTGCCAAGTGTCTCTTTTTTGTGTCTTTGTGTCCTCGCAGAGAAGTTTGACATGAGAGAAATTCATTTTAAAATGTCAAATGTTTGTCATAATAAATGTGTATCAAGGTCTCTAAGTCTGTTTTTTTTCACCAAGCACATCACCTTCACATCATGTCACCTCTTTAGAGCGTAGGATTTCCAACAGCATGCAAGAAGCTGCGAATTTAAACTATTATAATAGTCCAATAAGATCTTCCTAAAACTGGAGCTACTGAGACGAGGAGGAGCAGAATGAAGCAGAAATCTTCCTCTTGCTGGAAAAGTAGAACATCCAAACACTGAGATAAATATTTTTGCCTAAATAATGTGAAACAGATTTGAATGATAAGCTTTAATCAAAGTTTGTTGAAGAGTAAAGAGGTGTAGTCTTGTTTTTCACACTTGCACTATTAGTTTATGGATGACATTAAAAAGAAAACGTTAAAAATGCTGAACAATGTCACATGAACTGGAAGGACACATAAAATTTTAAAGCAGCAACACCTTCAAGAAAAATTAGGAAGATAATTATTATCAAGACCTAATAAAAACAAATCATAAGATTAAAAGAAGCAAACTTCTGCAATCATAATCAGACCAAAATAAGGAAAAAATTGTGTTGTAATATGTTTAGATAGGATATATTTACTGTCACCAGTATAATAAACCCAATAAATCTAATTAGTTTTATTTGTATTTATACATTTTGCACATATTTTATGGATGGATGGATGGATGGATGATAGATAGATATTTTCAGTATTTGTTTATTAATTTTTATATTCCAAATAAGTACAACGTTAAAAGCACATGGGATTAAATAAGAAAATAAATACATACATTTGCAATTACGTTTGATCATATTTCTTTTAATAATGAATATAAAACTTATGTTTAAATAACATTTTTAATGATTGTATTAAAAAATATGAAACAACACAAATTTAAACAAGATATTTTGATACTTTATTATTTATCACATAAGGTTTGTGTTAAATTAAAAATGGTTCCATATTTCTATTCTATTTATTTATTTATTTATTTATTTATTTATTACCGTACTTTCAAAATAAATGCCATTTCATAAACCAAACGTATCCGACGTGTCGTGTGACGTCATGACGTCGGCGCCGACGTGCTCGGCAGACAGGAAGTAAAACTATCAGCTGATCCCACTGGTCTTGTAGGAGTTGCTGCTGCTGTTGTTGTTATGCGAAGTTCCCGTTGCTCCTGCTCGGACTTCGCTTTGCTCTTCTTGTCGCCTCTGGACTTCGGAGACCCGTTAACGGCCGGGGAGCGGACCTGGCCGAAGTTTTACCGGGAGGAGGGACGCGTTTCGTGACGGGAGAACGAGCTGCGTCTCGGCTAGTTTAGCCCCGCAGACAGAGAGAGCAGCCGGAGAAGAAACTCACCAACAGCACCGAAGGCGTCTTCTCGCCTAATTAAGTCGGGCCGGTGTTGGTTGCGATAGTAATTTCCTCTGGCTTGAGTTAAGGCTTTTACAAATGTCTTTTATTTACATTTTATTTGATCACCAGCACAACAAACGGAGCAGCTAACTAGTTAGCTACCGTTAGCTTCTCGTCACATCGCAAATAAAACAAAAGATTTGAAGCTTTCCGAACCGCTGACTGTGACAAATAAAACACAAAGAGTTCAGGTTCATGGGATAATGTTTACCTCCGATTTTAATGTGTTTAATGTCACGTGTTATAAAATTAGCATAGTGTTTGTTGCTCCTGATCAAGTTCTTTATTGATATTCTCGCCACTTATCTGCTCATTCAGGTGTTTGTTTGTTTTTTTTTTAGAAGCACAAAAACGAATATTTTTGATCGATTAACAGCTGGCCTTGTATGTTGTGTTTGCTGACAGGATTGCGTAATTTGTTTGCGTTCCAGCTGTCCTGCTGTGCTGTGTCCCTTAGATTAACAAGCCTGTGTTTGACTTCAGGTTGGAGCTCTTCTAAATATTTAACCCACTTCATAACGCTCCGTTTGGTGCCGTTTCAACAGCAAGGACATGAAATAAAGAAGTTTACCTTCCAAACAAGGCTCATGAGCCTGACAGTTTTAGAACAAACAAGCTGATATGATCTGATGAAAGCCACCTGAACAGGTGAGCAGAGGTCAGGGAGAGCCAGCAGGCAGACAGGGTCCCATCGTGTCTCGAGGTGAGCCGAGCCGCCCCCCCATCACTGCCAATGCTGGATCTGGAGGTGGTGCCTGAGAGATCACTTGGAAATGAACAATGGGAATTTGCCTTAGGTGAGGGTCAAATAATCACCTTTTGAATCCGATGATGTCAGATGTGTTTGACTTTTTGTTTGTTTTTTAGGGATGCCCTTTTCCCAGGCCGTCTCTATCCTCCAGAAACACTGCCGCATCATCAAAAATGTCCAGGTGCTATACAGCGAACAGGTACATCAACAAAAACATTTAAGGCCTGTTTGCGCCACACATGCCAATTTCTTCATGAAGCACATTTATAAATAGTTTAAAATAAAGAGCTGCGCAACAACAATATAAAAAGCAAAGGTGCAAACAACAACAAAACACCGGTAAGTTTGGAAAATGTCTCAAATAGAAGTAAACAGTGAACATTGTATCTGTAAAAGATTAAAATCTGCAGTGAGAATAAATGTGTTTTAACAGGAAGTGAAGAAGCCTCAATAAAATTAGACATTAGATTGTTTCAAAGTTTAGGAGCCACGAGGGAACGATTCAGATTATTTCTATAGCTCCAAGTCACAACAGAAGTCTCGGTGCACGCTGTACAAAAACATTCACATACATAAAAATGTCATTAGTAAAAGTTCTCTATCTAAGGAAGCAGCAGGTTGTGTTGAACCTTCACTTCATTGCACTTTTCAATCCTGAGCAAACACAAAGGAGACAGTGGAAAGGAAAAACTCCTTTTAACAGGAAGAAACCTCCAGCAGAACCAGGCTTAGAACAAGCTGCCATCTGCTTTGAGCGGCTGGGGCTTGATAGGGCAGGAAGTAGAAACAGACAAACGTAGAATGACGGGTCCAGGTGTATTCTGATGACCATCTCACAGAGAGGCAACAGCTCTACCAACTGAGACACTGTGCCGCCCTGGATCTTGAACCTTCAAATTAAATCAAAACTCAGAGTTGGTTCTGTGAGCTTTTTTAATAAACGATCAGTTCGTTCTGAGTATTAACTCTAACCGAGGTGAACCTCGTTGACCAGATGTTGTGTTGAATTACCAACATCTGGAGTGTTGGTAATGATCAGGAATGTGATGTGTCCTGTATGCAAACTTGTTGGCCTGTATGTTGTCGAGCTCAAATGTGCGTTTGCAGGAAAGCAAACAGGTTCTTGTGCCACGACTTCTGCTGAAGCTAAAGTGCACTAATGTAGTGCACAGATACTTTTTTATTTTTATTGAGTACAAGTACTTACATTTGTGTACTTGCTAAATCCGAGTACCAATTGAGTAGTAATAAATGCATTACACTTCATACAAATGTTGACTGTCACTGGACCGTTCGAGAACCTTTAACTGGCTCACTGTCCTACTGTATGGATTATATAGCACCTTTCTATCTTATCAAGATACTCAAAGCACTTTACAACACAATCTGTGCCTCATTTACCCATTCATACAGCGCTCTACTAGATCTATACAAAAGACTAATCAGCGCTTTATCACAGTCATTCACTGATGGGACACATCGGAGGCAATGAGGGGTTCAGCGTCTTGCCCAGGGACACTTCAGCATGTGACTTCTGGTGGAATCAAACCCCCAACTCTCCTATTGGAGGACGACTGCTCTAACCACTCAGCCACAGCCGCCCCCAGAATTTTTTCTGGAATTTACATCTGCGTATTGAAAGCCCACAACCTCAGAAAATTTACATTGAAATAGTTTGTGCCTACACACAGAGAGGACTTGGATCAACTGAGCAACAATAAGGATAAAACTAATAACATTTATTAAAAACAACATTCTAAGATTAGTTTGAACTAAATAAATTGGCATTTCCTGCGAAAATGCAGTATGAATGCTTATTACTGAAGAACGTGCTGAAAAACAGCTGAAATTAGCTATAAAAAACAGCTGAAATGGAAGAACAAGTCTAAATTAGCATAAGAAAGTAGAAAGAACACATTTGCTGAATTAGTTTTAAATAAGCAGAAATTAGCACAAAAACAAGGAAATTTGCTTAAAAAGCTGAAATTAGCCAAAACAACAACAAAAAGTTGCTGAAAAGGCATCGAGAAGCGTAAACAACCAGAAGTGGAAATTGCTGAAATGAGCTGGAAAAAAAAGTGGAATTAGCTGAAAAAGCAAAACTTTGCACAAAAATGGCTAAATAGTAGATGAAATAGCTGAAACTATCAGAAATAACCTGAAAAGAGCATAACAAGCTGAAATTATCAGAAACAAGTTAATTCCAGCTTCTAGTGGTCCTATGCACAAATGAGACCACCATGAGATCTATCTGGGGTCTCTTTGTCCTCCTGGATGCTTCTCTGATTAATGTCCTCCTTACCTGATCCATGAGTTTTGATGGACGGACTCCTTCTTGGCAGCTTCGCTGTGTTGGCATCATCGTTCCATTTTCTAATAACAGATTTATTGGAGCTCCGTGGGTTGTTCAGAGTTCTGGAATATTTTCTAGAACCCAGCCCTGATCTGTTCTCAACATCTTTGTATCTAACCTGTGTAGAGAGGTCCTTGGTCTTCATGATGCCTCTTGATTGTAACCCTTACTATTTAAAAGTGTTGCACTGAATGTTGTGATGGTTGGGGCTTCAAAGCGAAGAGTCTGAATATACATATATGCATGCACCACTTTGCAGTTTTTTTTTTTATTTAAAATTTTTCACAACCATTTATTTTTATATTTAACTTAATTAATCTGGAATATTTTAAAGAGTTGTTGATTTTAATCAAATAAAAATATGGATAAAGTTCCAGGTTTGTAGGCAACAAGAGGAAGATTACTACGAAGAAGGATTAACAGTTTTGAAACTTACCGTTTATTTTATTTTACTCTAAATTTGTTGCCTAGTTGGTTTATTTTAAATGCTGCAGCTTGTAAATGTGCAATATTCTGCTAATTTGTCGACTTTTACATTTTTCTCATGTCCAGATTCTTCACAACCCTCTTAAATGAATTTTGCTTTAGAGCTTGTTTTTCTTGAGCTGACTAATCCAAAGAAAGCTTCATCCTATAACTGTAGCCTTCAGGGTCCATAACAGTGAAAATGTTGAAGATGTTTCTGAAACCTCCTGACTCGGGTTTTGGTCTGATCTGAGCTCTGCATGTGAGAACGGTTTCCCTCATTTTCTCTCCAGACGCCGCTCAGCCATGACCTCATACTGAACCTGACTCAGGATGGGATTAAACTGCTGTTTGATGCCACCAACCAGAGACTCAAGGTGACACTTCTGGCAGAGACGGCGGCCTCCAGAAGCAGCGACGATGCTTGGTCCTTATTTTGATTATTGTTTTCATGTGTGACAGGTGATCGAAGTGTACGATCTGAGCAAAGTCAAGTTGAAATACTGGTGAGTTAAAAGACGAAGATGATACAAACCTGACAGACATTAAAGCAGCCATCTTAATGCACTGAACACTGATGGACCCACAGCTGCTCGTTACCTGAATCTGCCTGCGTTGGTGTGTTTACTGTAGCCTGATTGAACGTTAACGGACATAACTCGCTGCGTTTGTCTTTTCAGTGGAGTCCATTTCAACTCTCAGGCCATCGCCCCCACAATAGAGCAGATAGACCAGTCATTTGGAGCCACGCACCCTGGAGGTACTTTAAAAAGTCTTCACCGCTCCTCATATCGTCTCGTGTTCAGATTTCTATGATCTCACTGGGTGTTTTTATTTCTGCGCCTCCATCCAGTTTACAACCCCGCAGAGCAGCTGTTCCACCTCAACTTTCGAGGACTGTCCTTCTCCTTCCAGCTGGACTCGTGGAACGAAGCTCCCAAATACGAGGTGAGGAGGTTTGGGCTGGGTCGCTTTTCAGGCTCTTGGAGAGCTGGTCTGTTTCCTCCAACATTCTGGTTTGAAGGGGTTCACCAGATGCATGTGGCTCCAAGTCTTCAGTTGAATTGTGATTTACGTTGGAATATTTTACGCCTTCATGGAATTTTTGTCATTAATCTGCAGTAAGAACATAAAATTACACTAATTTATGTTTATATCTAAAGTAAAGGAATAACTCGTAAATTTGGGGAAAAGTTTGGACGTTGATTTTAATGTTTCCCAAGTATTTAAGAAGAAAAAAAATCTGATCATTTTGTGTTCAGACTTTATTTCTTTATTTTTTTAAATAAAAATCCACATTTATAAATCCAAAGTGTTTCTGTCACGTTGTACAACACCAAAGGACCCTGCAAACTCCATTTGAAGTGGCGAAATCGTCTCTCATTGACGTAGCTGTGTGACAAAAATCACATCATTTTGTTCTCAGAGTAGCTCCGCCCCTTCTCAACACAAGGCCCAGGCTGAACTTTTTCTCACGAGCCAAGTATTGTGTGCTTGGCCAGAAACTTGTGGGCGTGTTCGTCCTGTGGAAAAGAGCTCGGTCATTCAGCTGTATCACTCTTCAAACACTAAATTAGTCAAAAGTTCAAAACGTCCTGGATGAAGGTCGTGCACACATCGTGCACGGAGGAGTCTGTCTGCTGAAAAGTGTGGTGCTCTCTTCATGACAGATTTATGGCCAAACGGCTGCAGGGACAGAGTGGAGACTGACAGGAAGAAACCCACGGTGATGTTTACTGCAGGGGGCGGGGCTTCCCAGGAGCTCTGCGCCGTTTGAAATGCGTGAGACAACTAACGTGACCGCGAGTCGACTGTTCGTCTCCAGATGGAGTGGCCCTTGTGTTTACTCAGGCGTAAGCTCAGAGAAGCTGCTCCCATGTTCAATAAAGAGCACAGAACAGATGGAATGTCCCCTCCCGGTTAAAGGGGAGTCTGTGCTTCAGGTGGAGGAGTTCAGGTATCTGGGCGTCTTGTTCCCGAGTGACGGTACGATGGAGCGGGAGATGCATCGACGTATTGGAGCCTCGTCCTCTATAAATCCTTCAAAGAGTGAACTTCTGCATCTTTGAGGTTTTGAGGACAAAATGGCTTTTACGGAAATAAATGCTCAGTTTTCTCATTTCTCATTCTGCAGATTCCACATGGAGCCATGGTCAGAAGGATGCACATCTACACTGGGAACAACCTGCAGGAAACAAGGTCTTTAATCATCTCCATGACAAACGGACACATATAAAGAATAAAAGCCATCCATCATCTTCACCCGCTTCTTCCTTTTTGGGTCGCGGTGGTCACTGGTGCCCATGTTCAGCTATCACTCTGCAAGAGGCGGGGGACACCCTGGACATGTCTCCAGTCCATCACAGGGACACATAGAGACAAACGAGACAACCATTCACTCTCACTCACACCTAGGAACAATTTAGAGTTACCAATCAGCCTAACATGCATGTTTTTAGTCTGTTGGAGAAAACCCACGCATGCACGGACAGAACATGCTAACCACCCAGAAAGGTCCCGGACCGGGATTTGAACCAACGACTTTCTCACTGAGAGGCAACAGCTCTACCAACTGAGCCACGGTGCTGCCAGAATAAAAACAAAAACAAATAAAAATACGTAAATCTGCTTTTCTCTGTGTCCTCAGAGCTCCTGCGATGCCGCTGGCTTGTTTCTTCGGGAACATCTTTGCAGAGTGCGTGGATGTCCTGAGAGACGGAGCGGGCCCTCTGGGGCTTAAACTCCGCCTCATCGTTGCAGGTACCACACCTTTACGTGACTTTTAGTTTTCCACTCCGGTGGGGTGGTTTCGTCACAAGCCATTTCCTTTCCTCTGTTTCAGTTCTTTACTCGCTGTTCTTGCGTCTGCAGGTTGTGGTCCAGGTGTGATGGCAGATGCTAAAGTCCGGTATCTGGAGAGGAGCATCTTCTTCGGAGATTCCTGTCAGGATGTTCTGGGTTCTCTGGGCTCGCCACATAAAGTCTTCTATAAGTCCGAGGACAAGGCAGGAGCTCTTTCTTCACACGTTTACCAGCTTAAAGGAAAAATAACTAAAAGTCTGTGATGGTGTGTTTCAGATGAAGATCCACTCTCCGTCACCTCACAAGCAGGTGCCCTCCAAATGTAACGACTACTTCTTCAACTACTTCACCCTTGGAGTGGTACGTGTGTGTCTGTAACACGTGTTCAGAACTTGTCCCTTCAGAAGCTTCATTTAAACGTGTTCAAATGTTGAATTTTCTGTTGAATTTCAGAGAAAGACAGATCAATATGTTGTGCTCCTTGAATTATTAGTAACATTCTGCTGCAGACGTTTTATCCACACATTGCGTAAAACCAGCCTTTTCTGTTGGGATTATTATCCCCCTTCACGTAGCGAAGAAAGGACTTTGAAATACTTGCTGTTAGTTCGTCTTGTGACATAACTTGAAATGTAAGTTAGATACTGACTTCCATTTTGGTACGAGGTTGCATCTAGGCGTAAGAAATGCCACCATCAAAAGTTGGATTGCCACGTCAAGATCCAAGATGGCTGTCACTATGCATACACACACAAGCGCGCGGTCCCCACTTGAATATCTTGCACCAAAAACATTAAGGTTTACTTAATTCTCTGTTCACTTCTAGTTCAGAAAGACGCTCATCTCTAAAACGTACAAACACTCACTCTTCAAGTCCCTCAGAGATGGGGGTCATCGGCCTAATGCGTGTTTCTATGTTGTTTTTGTTCAAAGCTACAGAGAACCACTACAGAGGGACCAAAGAGCCACATGTGGCCCCAGAGCCGTAGGTTGCAGACCCCTGCAGTGCACCAGACTGTTTCTCTGCATCCCTCATTTTATATTCTGACCCATGAGTACCAGTGGTTCTTGGTCCACAGTTTGAGAACCACAGATCTAGAGATTTGGAAGAGCTTTCCATTTGTTCCAAATGGATTGAACATTTTATTTGGCTCGATTTTGGGACTGGCTCTGTTTGGATTGTGACATAAAACGTTTATTCTGTGACTTTTGTGGGTCACCATCTTCCTGGGAGCGTTATGGATTTTTCATTCATTCAACCTTTATTTGTACAGGTTAATCCCATTGAGCCTCGGGAACTCCTTTACAAGAGAGACCTGATTTTAACAAAGAATGATGACAACAGTAGACAATCTTAAAGGATGCGTACAAATTGAGAATCCATCCATCCATTATCTTTACCCGCTTATTCCATTTTGGGTCACGGTGGTCGCTGGTGCCCATGTCCAGCAATCACTGTGCGAGGGGCGGGGTACACCCTGGACAGGTCGCAAGTCCATCACAGGGCCACATAGAGACAAACGAGACAAACAACCATTCACTCTCCCACTCACACCTAGGGACAATTTAGAGTTACCAATCAGCCTAACATGCATGTTTTTGGTCTGTGGGAGGAAACCGGAGTACCCGGAGAAAACCCACGCATGCACGGAGAGAACATGCAAACTCCACCCAGAAAGGCCCCTGGACCGGGGTTTGAACCAAGGACCTGCTTGCTGAGAGGCAGCAGCTCTACCAGTTGCGCCACCGTGCTGTCCCCAAATTGAGAATAACAAGTGAAAATAAAATGGTATTTAAAATAAATGTTTTTTTTTTTTTTTAAACAGCTAGAATATAAGTTGGTGTAGAAAACTAAAAACAGGAACATGTCTGCATTGGTTTTTGCCAGGAACTTGGCAGATGTTTGAAGCCACTTGGAGAGGTCAAGGTTGAGAGCTTCAGATCTTTTTGCAAGATATTCCAGGAAACAGGAGCGGAGTAGGAGAAGACCCTTTTCCATAGTTCAGTCCTCACTGAGGGAACACTGCATGTAATGTCCTGAGAGCGCACGTTGTAGCTGCACTCACACAGTGACATGTAGGAGGAGATGTATGAAGGCAGCAGACCAAGAAGTGATTTAAAGATGAAAATGTACCAGTGAGAGTCTGAGTGAAGTTACTGATGACCAGTTAATCAGTGACTACAGGGTGCAGTGATGGGTACGGTAGTTACAGCCAGTTATGAATCTTAGTGCACCATGATAGACAGCATCCAACATCTGCAGGGTTCTTGTAGGAGCGTTCATGTAAATAATGTCACTGTAGTCAATGGAGGGAAGGAAAGTTGCAGTTACAAGGTGTTTCCTAGCATTCAGAGTTCGACAGGATCTGTTTCTGAAAATGAAACCCAATTTAACTTTCAGTGTCTTTACCAAGTTTTCCACGTGAAGCTTAAAAGAAAGATGCAAATCGACCAAGATACCCCGATTTTTGTAGGAATCGACAAACTCAATAGGGACACCGTTCAAGGATAAAATCAAAGGAACAACTGCTAGGACCGACTTCCTGTTTGAAAAAAGCATTCCTTTGGTTTTGTTGGTGTTTAGGACAAGCTTGAGGTGGAAGAAATGATTGGATGATGTCGAAAGCGGATTGCAAAAGCTGGAAAGTCTTAGCAACTGTTTTAACTCGACAATAAACGACTGTGTCATTGGCATAGAAATGTAAGGATGCATCAGGGATGCTCTGCCCTACATTACCTATGTAGATTGTAAAGAGGGTGGGTCCTAAGACTGAGCCTTGTGGTACACCATTGTTGACTGTTAAATAACTGGAGGAAATACCATTATCTTGAAAACATTGCCTCCTATCTGAAAGATAGTTAGAGAATCAGCCAATGGTGTGATCTGAGAAACCAATTTCTAAGACAGCAAAGTCCATGCTCAATAATCCAGGTATACAATTTCTAAGACCTTATAAGATGTCATGGTTAAAGGAAACAAGCTGCTGAACTGGTGCAAATGTTGACGTCTAATCAAAGCACTCCATGTTGGAGTTACCTTCATCTCAGAGCAGAGAGGACGCCTGCTGCTCAGACGGTTTTGATGATCGGCCTGTCCTGTTTTTCAGGACGTTCTGTTCGACTCAACCACTCACCTGGTGAAGAAGTTTGTCCTCCATACGAACTACCCCGGGCATTACAACTTCAACATGTAAATACATTTGATTGTTTCACCAGCCGTTTCTGATTTTCTTTATTTTTATCAGTTTTAACTTATTTTCCGTCATCGCAGATATCATCGATGTGACTTCAAAATTCCACTTGTCATCAAAAAAGGTGAGACCATTTTCTGTCTGGTGTTTCATCAGCACTGAAGGATCAAACGTTCCTCTAACTTCTTGTTTTTGACTTCAGAAGGAACCGATTCTCAAACTGAGGATTGCATCTTAACGACTTACAGCAAGGTGAGAGAGTGACGGGGGGGGTTAAGTGAGGCTAGTTGGTATGTTAACATTTACAAGTTGCAGTTCATAGCTGAAATATTCTAAAAGACTTGTACAAATGTTACCAGCTTCAGTAAAATGTTTAAGATTTGCCTGAGAATTATTTGGAAATGGAAATAAAAACACAAACATGGCTCTAACTCAGTCATTTTTACAGATATTAAGCTACATTTGGTGTGGTAGCAGCTGAGAGTCCTCCTGACCACAGAGTCAGAGCTCAGACAGATCACACAGTGTCTTTGTTTGAGACTTTGAGGTGCTTTCCTTTAAGAAAAGCTACTTTTCAATCAGTTTTTATTATTTTCGTACGCCTGTTGAAAGACGGGCGCGTTGTGGTACAGTCTCCATACTTGAACTTTCTTAGAACTTCTGGTCTGCTCAAGATACTTTAATGAAACATACATTTGTACCACCACTAGACATCTATCCATTATCTTCTGCTGGTTCTGGACTTCAGGTCTCAGGGGCAGCAGTTTGAGCAGGGAGGTCCAGACATCTCTGTCCACAGCCACCGCTTCCAGCTCTTCTGGGAGGATACCAGGGTGTCCCCAGACCAGCTGAGGGACATATTCTCCAGTGTCCTGGGTCATCCCTGGGGTCTCCTCCCAGTTGGACATGTCCAGAACACCTCCCTATAGAGGCGTCCAGGGTCCATCCTTACCAGATGTCTGAACCACCTCAACTGGCTACTCTGGATGTGGTCAGCGGTTCTACTCTCGAGTCTCTTCTGGAAAACTGAACTTCTCACCCTATCTCTAAGGAGTGTCCAGCTGCCCTGCAGAGAGAACTCATTTAGACCTCCTGGACCCAGGAGCTGGTTCAGTCTCTACCCAGAGTTCATGACCACAGATGAGGATAGGAACATAGACCAACCAGTAAACAGAGAGCTTCTCCTTACAGCTCAACTCTTCACCGCAACGGACCGGAGTCCACAATACCACAGAAGCTGCACCTCACGCTCCATTCTTCCCTCACTCATGAACAAAACTCTGAGATGCATGAACTCCTCCACTTGAAGCAGAACCTCACTCCCAATCCAGAGAGAACAGTCCACCCTTTTTTGACTGAGGACCATGGCCTCAGACTTGCAGGTGCTGATCACCACCACTAGACCTCATGTTGCATAATCTTTCCATCACCCCAGCTCTAAGGTCAAGGTCACAAATTAAGCTCAAATGTTATATAATGTTTTTGCCAAGCCATTGCTATGGATTGCTGTAAAATAGTTTGATGGGTGTATAATGTGCCGCATGCGATACTCGTTTAATTTATCAGAACGTCCTGTCACTGGAAAACTGTTAGGTTCTAATTTATTGTTGTGATTTTGAATCTGGTTTAATCAAAGTTTTATTTGATCTTCAACCGTTTTTATTAATATTTAGTTCTTCTGTTGTGTAAACCAGGGTTTACGGGGGGTTTTATAGCTTTAAGTTTTCTGTGCGTTTCTCTTGTCAGTGGGATCAGATTCAAGAGTTGTTGGGTCATCCGATGGAAAAACCCGTGGTGCTCCACAGGTAAGTGTACAGGTGTGCACAGAACAGTGAGTTTGGATCACTTTACTGAAGTTCAGTGCTCCTCTGATGTTGTTGACACTTAAAAATGCTTCAAATTGCTGGATATATACAATGAATGAGATGTTTCCAATATTTTTCTAATAAGTTTCCTCATCAGATGTTTGTGTTCGACAGGTCTTCGTCGGCCAACAACACCAACCCGTTTGGTTCTACCTTCTGCTTCGGGCTCCAGAGGATGATTTTTGAGGTTTGTGAAACGGCACCTGAGAGTGATTCGTTTGTCTGAAAGGCCTGATTACAACACACTTGTAAACAAAAACAAGTTGTTGCTTCTTGGTTAATTGAACGACCAAATAAACCACGTTAAATTAAAGGTATATGCAGTATTATGGGTGTTGGAACCCTCTGTCCTGCATGGTTCAGATGCTTTTCTGCTTCAGACCACCTGGTTCACATTAGCAGATCGTTACAAGGCTTCTGTGGGAATGGAGGACAGGCTGTTGGGATGATTTGTTTCTTTGGATCAGGCATCTTGAAGCAAAGGCAAATCTAAAACATGCAGGACAGACGGGAAAAAAACAAAACAAAGAAAAACTGTTTTAGTCTGCCTGAAATCTACTGACTACTGAAGAGAGGCACCAGTTCCCTTTAATCTTACACTGAAAAGAGGATGGATGGTTGAATGATTTGATGGATGGTTGGATAGATGGATGTAGGGAAGGATGGATGTTTGGTTGGTAGGTTGGATGAATGGTTTGTTGCTTGGATGAATGGTTTGTTGCTTGGATGGATGGATAGATGGATGGTTTGTTGGTTGGATAGATGGATGGATGGTTTGTTGGTTGGATGGATGGATAGATGGTTGGATGGTTGGTTGGATAGATGGATGGATGTTTGGTTGGTAGGTTGGATGAATGAATAGTTGGTTGGGTGGTTTGTTGGTTAGATGGACAAAGTTATGGTGACTGATATCTGACCTCTGACCTTTGACCTGCTCTTTTCCTGCAGGTGATGCAGAATAACCACATAGCCTCAGTGACCCTCTATGGAGCTCCACGGACCACCAGTCAGGCCCGTCCTGAGTCCAGCGCCAGCTCCCACTGAACAAGACTCCAGAACCCAGTCCAGTTCTGACCCGAGTGAAGTTTGTAACCCAGAGCCAGATGTTGACCTGTCCAGCTCAGATGAATCGGACCTGATAACGGGTTTTGTGCTTTTGGAGCGTCAAGCTTCGTGCTCTAAATTCTGTATCCTGTTAAGAGTCCAGCCGACTAATCCTGGGTCAGAGTCCACCCAGAACCACAAACTAATCCTGGGTCACAGTCCACCCACAACCACGGAGACCGCAGGCCGGCGCCATCCGTTGGCCAGGATGAGAAGGAGCGGAGACCTTTCATTTCCTTCAATGCAAACCTCCTGGATCGACGTTAAAACAGCCGCCGAGACCGGACCCACAAAACCAAGATCTGAATCCACATCAGACTCCACACTGCCAGGCCAGCCGGTACCGCCCGTCTTCCTGTTTCGAACCAAGAACCTGACCTGTCCAGACCTTCTAAGATCACAGAAACTTGTTCGGACCAGTGACCGGGCCGAGTCAGTCAAAGCCCTCTACGATCCAAAACTTTCCCAATCATCCTCCCTGATGATCGCCTTCATCCTCCTCCTCCTCCTCCTCCCAGTGAGGTCCAGAACCACAGACTCAACAACCCAGACGTGCTGCTGTTCTCACAGTTTTTATTTACATTTCATCAAAGTGAGTCGACTCAACGCATTTCACGTCTTCACTCGTTTGTTGTTGTTGTTGTTTCAGCAAAACAAACAAACAAACTGACACCTGCTTCCTGTTTCATTTGATTTCATCTGGGATGAAATCCTGCATGTCGTTATGGGTGTCACCATGGTAACCATCCTTATCACTGTTTTATTATCCTCAATTGTACTTTTGCACTAGCGCACACCTTTATACGTGACTTGTGTGTGTGTCTGCGCACGTGTGTGTGTGCGTGCGTCTGGTGATTTTCCGTCCATCCGTCTCCAAACCGTCTCAATTTATTTGCCAAATGTTGCAGCCAAAGACGTTTTCTGACGACGCTCGTTTGTTTTTCTGCACAAATGTTTTCAGTTTTTTCAACTTTAGTGCGTTCCTGTAAAGCTTCCTGGTTTCTGTAGCCGCATGTCGTGGAAACTCCCGTTGTATTTTAAAAACATTTAATTGTAGAAAAGCGCGAGTCATTCCTTCCCCTCCTCAGAGAGGACATTTCTTAAAGAACGAGACAGAATCTAAGCGGGTCGTTTCAACACGTTCCCTGTGGAGCTCCTTGGTTGGAACATTTTTATGAAAACAGAAAAATGTAAATTTATTTTCTGGACTCAGACCGGCGGCCTTCCCTCTTTGGTTCTAGAAGAACTCGGACCGGGACAGAGTTTCAGCTGAAAGTGTTTAAAAGGGTTCTTACCAGCCGGTGTTGAGGTTCTGGTTCTGGTCCATGGAGATCTGCGTTTTGGGTCTCCAGCGCCTCAGTCCAAGCTTCGGTTTGGCTCATTTACTCGTTACGGCACAGACCTTTTTCTTATTTGATTAAATTTGGGTTTTGTCTCTGAGCTGTCGGGTTCCTGTGGTTCTGGAAGGACTCTGGTTCTGGTTTCTCTGATGTGGATCGGACCGTCGTGGATTCTGAAACATCTGAACCGGGCCTTGCTTCGATGTGAGAGACAAAAATAAATCTGTGCCTCATCTCCCCTCAAGCCGTCGTTAATGTTCTCTGTACATAAAGTCCCACAATGCATTGCAGCCGTGGTCCAGTGCGTCCTGCATCAACCATCAGCGCAGGTCAAAGGTCGTCGTCCTTTGTCTTTTAATCTACAGAGATTGGCAATCTGAGTTTCCCAATGGGAGGACTTTGTCTGAGGTCCTGTTTGGACTCAGTTCCGGGTTTCATCCAGAACCTTTGGACCTGGTTCAGACGTTTCGTTTCAGAGCTGCAAAAGAAACAAAAATGTTCCCCCAGAAAATCAAACGTTGATAAAGGGTTCCTACTCTGGATTCTGCTTAAACTGTTTTATTTTATTTTTATCTAAAAAAAAAAAAAATCAGCTTTCATCAGAACTAAACGTTTAAAGAGTGGGTTTTTTTTCAGACTTTAGATATTACAAAAAGACTAAGTACTGTGCAAAAGTTTTAAACCAGTTCTATTTTTCTCTCATTCCAAATTTGGCGTTTTTGAATGAAAATTGAAGAATCGGGTAACGACTTGAGTCTTTTTCACTTTTCTGTGCTCATCGTTTTAATTTACATTGTTGTGAAACTCCAAAAACCTAATAGTATGCTGTATAAATACAAATGATTTGCCATATATTGCCATATTCTGTGCATAAAGAGAGCTACAAGAAAAAAGCAAACGCTGCATTTTTTTCTTTCCTCCTAATCTGAACACAATCTCAACAATAAACCTCTGAAGAACACTTGAACTGTGCAATTAAGATCATAAAGTCACAAGAATTTAATTTTCTTTCTTGGTTGCAGTCTACTGTACATATCTATTAAATGTTTTTACCTAAATATAAAAGTCTGAAAATCAGTTCATAAATCTGGAAATGGAAAACCAGAAACCAGATGGATAAAAATCGAGCTGCGTGTCTCCGAGTCGAACTGTTCTTCCTCTGCACAAACGAATTAAATTACACAAATATTCTGTTTCTATTTGCAGTATGAATTTAAAAATCATATTTTGAGGAAATTGATGCATGAAGGAGCCCGGCCTTACTGAGATTGATTTTTATTTCTTCTATTTGTCTTGTTGCTTTGAGACAGAAAGAGGCTGATGGGTGTTTTAATCTCACCCAGACTCAGGTGGACGCATCACGTTCTGGTTTTTCTAACATTTTTAGTGTTTAAAAAAAATACAACTTTAAATCTGATGTTTCAGTGAAATCCCAGATTGTACTTTCTAACAGAACGTTTCGTTTGTTTCATCTCCCTCAGAATATTTTTGTGGTTGCAGATTATTTATCAATAAATCCCAGCCTCTTTATGGGGGAGTTCGTTAAAACAAAGTTTGCTGGAATGTGTTTTTTTATTCAGAGTAACTTGTGTAGATTTATTCAGCATGTCCACTAAAAAAGGCAATAAAACCAAGTAAAGCAAAGAGATGCATCCAGACTGACTGAAAGCTTTGCTGCGGCGTCGATTTCTTAAGTTTTACTTTTGGCAGTGCTTGTTGACTTCTCAACATTTTCTGAAATCTAACGCTGAACGTTTGTTTGCAGAGTTTTATTTTCTCTCTGTTCCAACCAGAATATGAAAAATAAAAAATGTGGATGTGAAAAGAAGAGATCTCTCTCATTTATTTAGCTTGACGCACAAACACAAAACTCTATATGTACATGTAAGAAATGTGATTTCACAGGTGGAAGAGAACTTGGAGAGGTGCAGGTATGCACTTGAAAGAAGAGGAATAAAAGTCAGCTGTAGTAAGACAGCACATGTGTGTGAATGAGAGGGAGGCCGGTGGAACGGTGAGGCTACAAGGAGCAGAGGTCACAAAGGAGACAAAACTGGAGGTGTTGAGGTTCTCCTCCTTAGGAGTGACAAGGATGGATAAGATTAGGAATGAGATCATCAGAGGTACAGCACAGGTTGAACAACTGAGAGATAAAGTTAGAGAGGCCAGACTAAGATGGTTTGGACATGTCCAGAGGAGGGACAGTGGGTGTATTGGTAGAAGGATGTTGGAAGGATGGCAGGAAAAAGACAAGAGGAGATATCTGGATGCAGTTCGAGAGGATATGGAGGTAGTTGAAGTGAGGACAGTGGATGCAGAGTGAGATGGAGGAGGACTCTGTGGCAACCTGTTCCTTCCACAGACCAAAAACATGCATGTTAGGCTGATTGGTGACTAGATTGTCCCTAGGTGCAAGTGAGAGTGAATGGTTGTCTCCACGTGTCCCTGTGATGGACCCGTCCAGGGTGTACTCTGCCTCTTGCACAGTGATGGCTGGACATGGGCACCAGTGACCCGATAAGGAAGAAAATAATGTTGAAAAAATACAATATTACCTTATATTTCCCTAAAACATTTATTATAAAACCTCAAAAACCCATCTTCCATTGTCCTTTTACAGGTTTAAAATTATGGATTTTTGAGTTTTGCAGCTTGTTGCATTTTGTTTTTTTCACATTTTCTACAACCTCCCGACTCTTCAGGAGTGGGGTGTCACTAAGCAGTCAGCAGGAAGGAAGGGCTTTATGAAGTCTGGAGAGAAACATCCAACACACAAATCATTCTGCAGATTTAAAGGTCCAGAGAAACGTGTTCTCAAAACCTTAAAGTCAAATAAAAAAATTTGTTCACGGTCTGAGGAAATCAACAGAAAAATGTTCTCGTGTGGCTTCCTTTCCAGTAATCCGGAGCAGATTTCATCTTTGCTGATTCATTTGCCTGCGGACCATCAGCCATCTTGCTCGGATCAACTCTCAAACTGGTTCCAGATCCAACAATGCACCAGCTAATCCTCCAACTGGTCCCTAGGAGTGATAAAGACCTTATTCTCACCATACTCCGTCACATCCCCCATCCTGCCCTTCCCCCTCCATTTGAAGGGTCTGGACCTCAGGCTGGTCCGGTTGTGGCAGCTCAGTTTTTGGTCATGAAGGAGGTTCCACATGAGCCAGATCTGCGGAACGCTGAGGCTGTGGACGACCATGAGCTCCTTGTAGAAACAGGGGTCAAATGTCTGAAGGTGGGGGGCTGCGGACGGTCGGAGAATCCCAAAAGTACGAAAGCCCTGATGGCGGGAGGCTTTGACGCCGATCAGCTGAAGGCACATTCCCAGGAAGACGTCGTCGATCGGGAACAACTCCACCTGGAGGAATATTTAGAACCCAGTCAGTGAAGAACTCCTGATGCAGTTTTCACTCTCCGGCAGGTTCAGAAAAACATCTTGGAGGGAAACGATAACAGATGCAGGACACAGTGCTCAGACAGAAAGACGTTACGGAGAAGCTAGTTCAGATTGTTAGTTCCATGTACGAAGGTGTTCAAACAAGTCAGAACTGGCAAAGGCAACACAACAACATTTGGGACTAAAGTTGGCGTTCATCAGGGTTCATGTCTCAGCCCACTGTTGTTTATTGTTGGGATGGATGCAGTTACTGAGCTTAGTAGGAGAGAAGTTCAGTGGGATATGTTGTATGCGGATGACCTAGTTGTGGGTGGAGATTCTGAAGTTAATCTCCAAGATAGTTTCAGACGGTCGTAGCATACACTTGAGAATAAAGGTCTGAGAATAAACGCAGCAAAAACAGAGATCATGGTCTCCTCAAAAGCTAACGAGACCTTAACAATTACTGATAATAGAGGAAATGTACTGAAACAAGTCAGTGATAAATGCCAAAGGAAGATGTGAAGAATTGGTGCAGTGTGGCAAAAATGGAAGGAGTTGACACGAGTGCTTTGGGACAACAGGCCAATTCATATTAAAAGGAAAGTACAAGGTGATGACGTGCTCAGTCTTGCTTTGTGGAGCTGAGGTATGGCCTTTAAAGAGAAAGGAAGAGTAACTCCTGGAAAGAACAGAAATACAGATGCTACGTGGGATTCTTGGAGTATCCCTCAAGGATAGACAGTGAAATGACGATATCAGAAAAACGCTTGGCGTGACATACATCACGGATAAGATACAGAATCAAGAATGAGATGGTATGTGCATGTGCAGCGAATGGAAGATGACAACAAGGTAAAAAGGCTTTTAAATGCACAAGTTTTCAGTGAACAAAGCAGGGGATGGCAGAAGAAGAGGTGGATGGATATGATCTAACCGGATATGAAGACACTCCATCTCACAACAGACGATAAATGAAACAGATGGAGGAGAATCCATGCAGCTGACCCTGAAAGGAGCAGGAGCTACAGCCTGAAGGAGAGAGAGAGAGAAGAACTGAAGTTTAGAAACCATTTCATTTAAGCATGAGTTACCTGTCGACAGGCAGAGCTGAGCCTCCGGGCCGTACGCCCTGACATCACAAACCCCCCTCCTCCAGCATAGTTCGGGTACAGACCCCCTCCGTACAGGAACTCAGGGACAAAATACTTGGAGCTGCGGCGGCGGATCGGTTTAGCGTGGACGATAATGTCCCCAACAAACAGATCCTCCTCCGGGTCTCGGTCCAGCAGCATCTCCAGGATGTTTTCTACGTTCACGTAAACATCAGCATCTCCTTTGAAGATGAACCTGCAGGAGATCAGAACACAGTTCACTGAAACACCACCAGGTCCAGAATCAGAGTGTCCTGATACCAGCACTGACTTCACATGGGGACAGCTGCTGTTGACCCAGTCCAGAAAATGTGTCTCCTTCAGAGTCAGGTTGAAGAAGGTGTCTTCAAAGTCCCAGACCAGGATGTCCCTGAATGTCCGGCTCTCGTAGGCCAGGAGCTGATCCCAAAGAGGCAGAGCGCTGCGGTTCCTGGGGATCCCCAGCAGGAACAAGGTCCGGATGGAAACACCGGGCTGGAAAGGCCCCTCCTTACCCCACGTCTGACGCACCACCTGCAGCAAGAAACCCCAGAAGAAGTTGTTTTGTTCACACACACCTGAGGTCCGAGGTCCAGACCTTTCTATCAGGTCAGGGTTCTACAGATCAGAACCAAATAAAATGGGTCTGGACTTCACCAGGTTCTAAAATGAATCAGATCTAACAACAGGTTTCAACGAGTCGTTCTTCCAATGAGGAGACTGAAAAACTGGTTCCAGCTCCTGATCTAACAGAACCTCCTCCAGAACCTTCAGTGGTTCTCTGTAGGACTTCTTCTGCCTCTCTCTCATTTCTGGAGGAGTTCTGACCGACTCTTCTTTCCATCATTGATGGTTCTGCTCAGCTCTCTGAAGGTCCACCACAGAGTTTTAGTCAGATTGAGGTTCTGGACTCTGACTGGACCTTGGTTCTGTTCTTTCTGACTCGTTCTGTTGTAGATCAGCTGCTGTGTTTGGAATCATGGTTCTGTTGGACCCAGTTTGGTCCAAGCTTCAGTTGTTGGACTACAGAACCCTTTGGTCTCCAGAGGAGTTCCTGGTCCACTCAGGGACTGACAGGAGCCCAGACCATCAGCCTCCACCACCGTGCTGACAGCTGGGAGGAGCTGATTGCTGCAGTGCATTGTGGGGTGGTCTGGTTCTGGTCCAGAAGTCTTGTGGTTCCTTCAGATGAAACTTTACAAACCTAAGTCGAACTGCCATGTTGTTTTCAGATAGAAGAGGTCGTGACCTTTGACCTGCTGACCTGTAGAGTCACTGCACGGTCTGACCTTCAGGGTGAATCAGCTCTCTGAAATGTTTCCACGTGTGAATCAACTTTCTCTCTGTAGAACAATGGACTCTAAATGACCTTTGACCCTTCACACATTTACAAGCAGCAGCTGCTTCTCTGAGGTCATTGCTGATGTCTTTCCATCTTGGCGTTGCATTAACACACACCTGGATGCTCCAGAGCGGCAGAACGTCCTGATGAGGATCAGGTAATCAATACATTTGATCAATTCTTACCTGGCCCACAAAAAAAATGTTTATAAACAAAAACAGCTGGACTTTTATTCTGAAGCTGAAGACGTTTCTCTTCCCATCCGGGAGATTTTTATCAATTTAGCAAAGTTCCAGCTGCAGGTTGGACCGGAACAACTCGCCCTCACGGTGGAGGCTCGTCAGGCTCTTCTCATGCATGAAGGTGTTGGAGTGGAGCTGACTCACCTTCATGCACTGAGACAAAGATCCTAACGAGCCTCCGCTGTGAGGGTGAGTAGTTCCAGTCGTACCTGCAGCTGATCTAAGAACAGGGCCAGGCCTCTCAGGCCTCAGTTCCCTGCGAGCTCCAAACGCTCCGGACATTTTAGAGCAGATGAAGCCTCCCAGACGAGGAGAGAAACGTCTCCATGACCTGGATGATGGAGACCCTTCAGCAGCTATTCTTACCTGCCTTTTGTCAAAATCTGCAGCTGTGGATTTCACAGCGATGAGGAGATAAGGAGCCTCAGTGCTGCTCCCTCCTCTTCCTCCTCCGTCCTCCTCCTCTTCTCCTCTGATGTCACATTTCTTCGGCTGGTCGATGAGGAGCTTGAAGTTCCTGTTGTCCTTTTCCCTCAGATAACCTTCAAAGTCAAAAGGTGGCACTGTTGGTGCCGATGGGACGTTTCCAGCTGTCTTGGTCCCCGCTGCCTTCTTCTTCTTCCCCGACCTAGACCGGGTCTGAGGGGACCGGGTCTGAGGTCTGGATTCGGGTTGTGAAATTCCAGGGATGGTTTGCAATTTGCAGAGAGGCAGCTGAGGCTCCGACGTGACCTGAGCGAGGAAACCCAAACAAGCAAAGCTTTGGAAACTTAAATGTTTTAGAAAGTTTTCTAAGTGATTCTGGAAACAACAGAACATTTTAATCCAGATTGAACCGGTTGCATCCGGAGAAAATGTGTTTCTAAAAGTGCTAGCAAACAGCCAAAACAGCAAAAGACAAGGTAAAAGCTAAACGTAGCAGAACAGTAGCTAAAGTTAAAAGCAGCAGCAGGAGATAAAAAGAGATGCAGCAGATTTCAAAGCGAACAAGGATTTTGAACCAACGTGAGGGATTCTGTTTCATGCGGTTCTGTTTCTTCAAAAAGTTGTAAATAAAGTAAAATGTTTAGAAAATTATAAGTTACATAAATCAAAAGTGGCAGCAGCTTTCTACTGAACAAGCCGAATGTTTTAATACATTAACAGCTAAAATAGCACAAAGTCTGCAGAATATTTAAATTAAAACAAACAAACAAACAAAAAACCTGGAAAACAACAGTGTGAATGCTGAATCATCGAGTTTATACCTGTGAGGGCTCCTGGCCCCCTTTGGCCCCCCTGGCCCCCAGCAGGATCCGGCTGGAGCTGGTGGAGCTGTGGATCTCCAGCTTCAGCTGCGGTTTGCTCCACCCTGAGGAAAGAAGAGCCTGGAGACCCGGCTGGGATCAGACGAGACCCGAAGGACGGGTTTGGTTCTGGTTCTGTCGCCTCCCTACCTGCTGGGTGTAGAGCAGGAGACAGAGCAGCAGCAGAAGAACTAACGTGCAAATCACTTCCCCCCTCCTGTGGAGGATCCTCCTCACCATCACGGCTTTCCTCAGCCTCTCCAGGCGTTGGCAGAAACTCATACCTGAAGCTTGAAGACATTTTGGTTCAGAGAACATTTAGTCTTCGGCTGCTGGTTCACATTTAGTCTTCGGCTGCTGGTTCGCATTTAGTCTTCGGCTGCTGGTTCACAATCCTGACGTTATTCTCACTGCTGACAGTCTGAACACTCAGGTTCTGTTCCTGTTCTTTTGGCTCATTTTAAACTACTTTAAGTACTTTATGCCTTTTCAACCATTCATTCAGCTCGTTCAGGAGACGGCTGCTGTGACATTTGGTTTTTATAACTTTTATACTTTTCAAAATATTGAACTTTATTTACAAACATTGTCTCCATTGAAATTAACTAAAATCTTCAATTCCTTCAAAAACTTTGTTCTCTTTAAAACCTGTTTCAGATTCTGTCTCCTTTTGCTACTTCAGCTGTCAGCTAATAATATTTTAGCTTGCATTTTGCTGCTTTTACCTTTACTAATATTGAGCTTTAGCTAGTCTTTTGAAAAATGTATAATTTAGCTCGTCTTTTACTGCTTTTAGTTCATTTGATAGTGTTGTGTTTTGTTTAGCTTTAAAGCCTTTGGCTTCTTTTACATTTGATTTTAACCAACTTTGTGCTACTTTGGATATTTGGTTTGTTTTTTGTCACTTTTAGTTTTAAGCTAGTCTTTTACTGATTTTAGCGATTAGTTAGCCTTTTGCTGCTTTAGCCAGCATTTGGCTGCTTTTTTGTTTTTCCCTAATGTTTCGCTGCATGAAACATTTTGATTAACCTTTGAACATTTGTCTTGTATTTTGCTACGTAAGCGAGTCTCTTGCTACTTTTTGGTAGCATTTAGTTTATTTTAGCTCTTTTGCTATTTTAAGCTTTTAGCTAGGCTTTTACTACTATTTTGTAGTGTTTTGTTTACCTGTATTTTAGCTCCTAGCTTGCTTTGTGCTATTTTTGCCTTTGGCTAGTCTTTTGTTAATTTTAAACATTAGCCTTTTTCTATTTTAAATATTAGTCCTAATTTAGTTTTTAGTTAGCTTTTTACCATTTTTGCTAGCCTTATGCTGCTTTTAGCTAGTACGTATTTTGCCGCTTTTAGCTATCCTTACTTGCAAAATTTGACAAATTTATTACTACTTTAACCTTTTACTGCTTGTAGTTTTTCCATGTTTTTTCCCCTAGTGTTTTGCAGTTTTTAGCTATTGAGCTAACCTTTTGCTACTTTGATGATTTGGCTTGTGCTTTGCTACTTTTAGCTCCTAACTAGCCTGTTATTGCTTTTGGCTTTAAGCTAGCCTTTTGCTACTTTTAGCTCTTCATTGTGCAGCTTTTAGCTTTAACTTCTCAGTTTCAGCTTCTTCAAAAAACTTTTTTTATTCTACATTTCAGTTTATTTTGACAGAAAATTCAGTTTCTCTGATTTAAAAATAAGTTTTAAAAGATTATATTCATATTTGTGTCACTTTTTTTTCTTGTGTCATCAAGTAAAACACTTTTAGAGTGAGAAGAACAGCAGCTCTGTGACAGAGAAATGAGAATAATAATAATTATTATTATTATAAAGCAGAGCTCTTAAACCTCTCTGGGTTTAAAGCATAAGCTCACTCCAGATGTTTTTATTTTACGGTTTAACGGTTTTTATTTTAAATTAATCCAAACTGTCTGAAATTAACACATGAAACAAGGTTTTTAGAGGTTTTAGCTTTTTTCTTCCCGAACAGTGGAAAAAGTTCTGCATTGACCCAGATGAGTCGGACTTACCAGCAGGAGGTTCGGACTGGAAACATCTGGAGTTATTCTGCTTCACATTTCACCTGAAAACCCAGAACCTGGACCAGAACCTGGACCAGAATGAGTTTCCAAAGATCCGAGGAGCCGCTGCTTCTGCAGGGAGAAAATGAAAAATCAGAACTTTTTTTTCTGTCTGACCCAAAAGAACCGAAGCTGCGCGTCTGCACGCATGCTGCCTTCAGGGCCCGTCGGCAACATGAGTGATTGTGTTTATTATTTTAACACCAAACGAACTAATGTTTTTCTTTTTATCTCAGAACAAAACAAACATTGAATCAATGAATAACTCTTGTTTATTGTTTTTAAATTACTTTTTCAGTAGAAGGTCACCAGGCGAACATGAGAACTGAAAACAGAACCAGAACCTTTGATTCTGGACCCACTAGAGGGCGCTGTAGACACAGAGGAACCGTCATCCAGATGTTTTCTCTCCTGCAGATGTTGAGCTTCACTCCTTGTGGCTCGTGGGACAAGATTAATGATTCTGGCTTCAGGTGTGAGAAGTCCCGGGTTCCTGGAGGAGCCTGTCCAGAACCAGGATGGAGGACACTGGTCCAGAACAACATCTGGAATATTCAGATTAATATTCCCCTTCAGGAAAATAATTTTTATTTGTTATATATATTATATTTATATATTATGTTTTATTTATGATATTTTTATTTATTTATTTAGAATAAAATATAATCTACGCAGACTCACCTTTTGGGTTCCTTTTTTTTTGTGTGTGTTTTGATGAATTGGAATAAATGTTTTATCAAGAAATATAAAGAAACCTCAATAAACAATAAATAAATAAGAATCAAATGTTAATAATCTGTCTTTTTTATATTTTCTCTTTAATCAATAAATTTGTTCTACATTATAAATACACTGATAAAAGAGATTTAGACATATTACATGTGAACACAAAAGTGCATTTAGATCTTTGTTCTTTAATCATGGAGCTAAATGGACCGGGCTGCTGTAGCTCAGTGGTCAGTCTTGTAATCCTGAGGCCGCTGGTTTGAGCCCATTTCAGTCAGGAAGAGAATCTGCATTAAAACCAGTCAAATCTTCTCCTGAAGGGAGCAGGCGAAAGAAAAACATTTACCCAGACTGACCCTCAACAAAGAACAATAAGTTTTTTTGGTTCTCTTGATTTAAATCATTAGATCAACTAATTAAAACTGCAACAAAATGATTTCTTATGAAAGTAAATTAGTTGTAGATAATAAATGATAAAACATGGAGCATGTGAGCTGGCACTCAGAATACGGAGCTGAACATGAAGGCATCGCCATTTGAAGTTAACTGAATAAATCCAGATGTGCCAAACGAAGAGACGGAGGAAGAGGAGGAGCAGGAGGAGGAGGAAAGATTCAGGGCTGATTCAGAACCCAGAGTCCAACAGAATCTGAGCTGGTCCAGATCCAGTGGAAGTCACAGTGCAGATGTGGAGGATGTGCGTCGGTGCATCATCACCATTTTGATTTTTTTTTTTACCTTTGAGAATATTATTTATTTATTGTTTTCAGGATGTAATTAGAATTTCCTGGTCAGTTCAAGTGGTTCTGATCAGTCACAGAGTTACGCTTTGGGTTCAAATCTGGGATGAGCCCATTTACAACTACTGCCTCGTAGAAAGTCGTGTTTATTTCAACTTAAGTATTAGATGGAAGAGGATGAGTACCATAGTGCTTTTTTATTTACTTAAATTATTACTTTAATCTTAATTAAATGGGGGAGGGGGGGGGGGGGTCAGAATCCTTATTTCATAAATCTGAGTAAAAAATTAATTCATTTATTTTTTGCACCTAATCCTCATCTGTATCGATGAAATTTGCCCTAAATGAAAAATAAACAATGTAAACTTAAAACAGATAAGAAGTGTATGTACTGCAGTCCAGTGGATAAAGAGTGATTTTGAAACAATAAATTATTTCACGGGTTTTATGTTTCCAGACTTTTGTCATTGCAGATGTGCCAGAAAGGATCCTGTTAGAGCCACGGAGTGAAAAGGGCTCGTCCGGGATTTGAACCCGGGACCTCTCGCACCCTAAGCGAGAATCATACCCCTAGACCAACGAGCCACACAGATTAATGCTCCACATGTGTGTTTTGCTCGAAACATCTGTATGAGCTGCTGATGTGGCAGGTTGTTTTCAGATAGGTCAACAGGTCCAACAGCACCACCTGCTGGTCACAGGAGAACCACGTTGGATCTTTAAATGTATGTTGAGCCATTTAATTCAAAAATAAATAAATAGTGTACTCTAAATTTATTTAAAAATATATATACGTTTTTAAACAATTCCTCTTTTCTTTCTTTTACAAAAAAAGTAACAAACAAATCAACTGGACAACAAAAAGGTTGAATCATGTCATCTGGACTTCGTTTTTTTGTTA